TCACAACCAGCTCTTGGTTTGCTCTCAGGCCTTCTGAAGGTTTCAAGAGGCACCAGGAAGCTCAGTTCAACATGAGACAGTTGTAGGCATAGGTCTGGAACGCGTAATGCCAGCCATGTCCCTAGCAGGCAACCTTCTGGGGTTCTATACAATTCCCTGAAGATGGTTGACCCAGGGGCAGAGGCAGAGGCTCAGCTCAGTCACACAAAGCTGGGACCCTGACTATAATAGTGTGTCATTATCAACTTGTCACACAGCACTGAGGACAAGAGGCAGGTGCTATGGGGGGTGTCACAAAGTGACAGAGGCATTGCTCTGAGATGGATATTGTCCAAAAGTGGGTTGAGGCATTGAGATAGCCTAGAATGAGAGCAGACTAGATTGAGGCTAAGTCTGTGATCATGGAGGAAGCAGCCTCTACTCATGCTAGCTGCAGGGGGTACTTGTGTGTTAAGGACAAGTTCTCATTTCATTTGGAGTCTGCCCTGCACATTGATGGGTCTCATTTGTGTCTTGGTCAATCAGAGTGCTGTGTGGCTTCATCTGTCAGTCCTATTTGCAGCTGGAGTCCAGCAGAAACACAGAGGTTGGCTTGGGATGGGACATGCCAGGGCCTCAGTGACAGAGTTTCTCACACCTGCTCTGTGTTCATATACCTGGGAAACTTTGCAGTCTCTCTGCCTAGCTGGGGTGACTAGAAAGTTGGACTCAGGCAGTCAGACACTAGAATTTTTAAAAAACAATTCTGAGGTGACAACAAAGTGCAGACAATGTAGAAAATCATATCATGCTTACAGTACCATGGGGGTCAAGGAGAAAGGGCTTGAAATCAGCCTAGAGCCTGGCACAAAGATAAACATTCCTCCTCCCTTTCTCTTGCTCATCCTCCTCTTCAACCTCAGTTCCTCTTTTCCCTCTACTTCCTTCTCTTTCATCTCCAGCCATCTTGATTGCGTTGAAGCAAGATGAGCCCCTGTCATTTGCCCTTCCCTGGGTGTTGTGAATGAGCATTTGAAGAAAAAGAAGTCCCTGGCACCAGGAGCCAGCTTGGGTCCTCCTGACACACACCAACAATTCCAAATGTTCCCAAGAGCATGCCACTCCCATCATTCTCAGACCAGGACAGGAGGTGCATCAGCAAAGAGACATCAGAGTCAGGAGAAAACTGATTTGGAAGGGCCTCAGAACCTGGTACTTTGTGCTGTGTGTCTTTTCACAGGTGACTCAGCTTCTCTGTTTTGAGAATGGAAAGTCTAGACCTGTGTAACACTAGTGGTGTCACTCAGTTGCTAAGTAGTGAGTTCTTTAAAGCCCTGATGTCTCAGTTTCCTCATCTTCACAATGGGACAATAGGATTGCCCTCAAGGGTAGAGAGGGTCATAGAGTTGGAATCACCAAAGGCAATTAACAAGCCTGTGTGCTGGGGGCTACTATTGTGCCCCTTCTGCCTGCAGTTACTGACAGCAAGCTGGGGCAGCTCTGGCCTGGAGAGCAACAGAGTTACTCAGTGTGGTGCAGAACCTAGGTCAAGCATCATTGGGGCTGGTTGGATGAGGAGCAGGGGCAAAGGGGTTACCTGCTCTCACAGCTGGAGGAGCGCAGTTCCGAGCTCTGAGACCTGGAGGGGCAGCGGTGGTGTCTATGGCGGTGAGATTTCCGGCTTCGAGATCTTCAGGTGAGGAGAGGCAGGGATGAGGAAAGAGGGAGGGAGAGAAGGAGGGAGAAAGTGAGGGAGAAGTAGAGGGGGGAAAGGAGGGAGAGAAAAGCAAGCCATTGATTTTGATCTTGTGATATACAAATCCCAGAATTCATACCCCAGAGAAGTATAGGTCACTCCCAAGGGGACTGGTCTCCCAGCCTCACAGCCCAGCTTCCTGCCAGCATCTTCAGGGCTCTCTGCTCAACTAGGCTGAGCACAGGGAAGCAGAAAGGGGCCTTTGTGAGGAATGTGGATGACAGCTGGCTTGACACTTGTCCTCATGCTAGAAGCAGTCCTGGCACAAACCACACCCCAGGCAGGAAGTCGCCCTCCACAAAGCCTCCCCTGTCTCTCTCAAGGTCAGGAAACTGTGTTTTGTTCCATTTCAAAGGCCAGCCAGGTCCTAGCAAAATACTGATCTGTGGCCTGGGCAGAAGAGAAAGGGTCTGCTGTGCCTCCAGCCCCCCTCCCTCTGCTGGACCCTCGATGTGTCAAGCACATGGAAAAACACAGACTCTTTAGTGTAAAATATGCCTGTCTTAAAGAGGCACTCCTTTAAAACAAAAAAGGTAACCTTTGGTGTGCACAAAACTATTTGTAGAGTCTACTGGGCCTTTCAGTTCCCAATTTGTGAACTTGGACCTGGGACATGAAGTCCAGGTCCTTACCATGGAGTCAAAAGCCTGGCAATGGTTCACAGCAGCATCGCCCCAGTTCACTTCAGCTATTCCCAAGGAAGGGGCCCAATGCAATTGAGGATGATCAAAGAAAGTCAGGTGTGGTGGCTCATGCTCCAATCCCAGTGCTTGGGAAGCTGAGGCAGGAGGATCACCGTGAGTCTGAGGCTGCCTTGAACTAGTTCAAGGCTGGTCTGGGTAACATAGTAAGACCCTCCCTAAAAACAATAAAAAACGAAGGGTGTTCAGAATATGGTGGCTCAGGAATCTGTCTGTTCATCTCAGCGAAGGAATTAGATTCTTCTGACACTACTATCAGGCCATATCCATTCTCTGATTCAAACCTCCTCACTGCTCTACACTCTGTGCAGACTGTGGTCTTGAACCCCAAGCTCCTTCAGGAGCCAGCCCCGCCTGGTTCTTCATCTGGCCTATCTGTCCAGTGTCTTCTGCACTGACCTGCCAGACACAAGCAACACAACCACAGTGACTCGGCCTGCGGTTCTGGCTCAGACGGCAATGACCTCAAGTATCACCCATATCTAACACATTCTTCAGGCCCAGCCATTGACTTCTAAGAATGTTCCTCCCAGGAATTCTGCTGTTCTTTGTAACAACCGACAAAGTTGAGTCCTTTCTCTAGTGCCATGGCACAATGAGGACTGAGAGCAGAGGGTTGAAACCATGTCCCTAGCATGCAGCCTAGGGTCCCCTCCTGAAGGAAGCCACCCTCACCGCCAAGACCCATTTCTTCCCACTGGTGTCCTCACTGAGTTCCAAACTTTCCTCCTCTACTACTTGCCCACACCGTGCCCTGTGTTCACTGCTACATGCCAGGGCCTCATGAAGACACACTGGATGAAAGGAAGCTAACTCTTGGTCAGCTTGGTCAGAACAACCACTGATTCCTGGAAGCCCCTAGGATTCTTGCTCTCTGCCCTGCCTCATGTGGTTTGTCCAGCATTCTGATGATGAACTGCTGGCAATGGCTGGGGCTTGTCTGGCTTTTCACACTGCAGGGGGTGACCACCTCAGTGCCATCATGACTGCTCCCAGAGCTCTTGAGGCAGACGGGGCCCAAGGCTACTGGTATCTGAGAACATATGGGTGTGTGCTGAGTGAAAACTCCAGAGCTGAGCTCCCTGGCTCCAACACATTCATGCCAGTACTCCAGTGCCTCTGTCTTTCCATCCTCACAATGGGAGGACAACAGGACCAACTTTAGGGGATCATGGAGGGAGTTATGCGATTAATAATTTTTCTCTTGATGGCTTCATTTAAACTGAGTGGCCAATAGGGAAGTTCTTCCCTGATCTTACTGGAGTCTCTCCTCCTTCCTTCTGGAGCATGGTTCATGTCTTTATGGTACTGACTGGAATGCCCTTCTCTGTGCTGACCTTGAGCAAAGGGGCCCTTTGAGGCAGCCATGCTGAGCGCCCTCCCTCTGTGCCCTGCCTCTTCCTTCCCCTCCTCAGAAGCTGGCCTCCTTTCCTTCTTTTGTCTTTGATCCTGTCTTTAGATGCTTCTTGGTGGGAGATAAAATATTAGTTGATTGGAAAACACATTGCACTAACGTTTACAGAGTATAAAGTAGGTGGGTTGTAACCAAATTTACTTTTAATTTGATCGGGAACTGAACTCCGCAGGCAGTACTGGCTGATTTGAATTTCTACTACCAGCTATAAACTGTGAAGCAGCTGGGCCCGAGACCCGGGACTCACACACAGGGAGCACTGTGCTGTAAACCAGAGTGTGTAAACCAGTAGCCAGAGTACACGTGTAGATGCTTGTCCACTCCGCCACACACACACACACACACACACACACACACATACACACACACACACACACACACACACACACACGTGTGATCACACCCCACAGTCCATGCACACACTGTACAGATATGTGCACATATAAAGACTGACATATGCCTCTACACAGAATGCAGACATATAGTGTTCATGTAGACTGTTCACAAAGAGTGAACAGGATTCGAACACATGAGTCTATGGTGCACCTGCATGAGTGCTGTTTGCCACCACGCTCATACACACACAGGGGGCATTCATGTGAACACAGCTAGATCCCATGCACACATGCAATGTGCCCATGTTACATGCACTGTGAGGACCATGTGCATGGATGTTTGCATAACATAAAATATATAGACATTCCTAAGTGATGTGCACACTACACTTATACAAACTACCCCACAAATATATGCATGGTTTACATACATGTCGCACATATAATGAGTACTTCAGGCACAAGCATATACACTGTACATCATGAGCACACAAGCACACATGCACACACCCATGTATCACATATACGATCTGTGTATCCATGCATACCCCGCCCCTCACTTTCAAGTGAACACAAAGCCCTCTCTCTCCCTCTCTTCCTTCCTCCCTCTCGGCCACGGTCCCTTCTCTCCCCAGTGTATTTGGTAGCTAACGCTCCAGATGAAGAGAGGCCAGGCCTCCACTTCCTCAAACTACATAGTGTGCTCCAGGGGCATCTGTCTACTCACTGTTTTTTGTGCTTCTTCTCTTCCCGTCTTTTGCTTTTAGGGCTACAGGAGCTAAATAAGAAACAACCAGTTAATTGAAAGATGAAAACAAAGCAAAGCACCAAACGCAGTTCAAGACTAAACACAATCAGCAGGTTGTTCTAAGGACAGTGTCTTTATGCAGTGAGTTAGGCAGGGGATTCTGGCTCATGTCCCTGTGCTGAGGGTGCAAAGGAGGCTAAGTACCCTCTAGAAGGTTAATAACAGCAATGATAACGAAGGTCACAGTGGCCACACCTGCCATGCTGAGGACTTAGTGCACATCAGGCACTGTGCTAAATACTCCTACCCCATGTGAACAATCTATTGTCCCCATCACCTCTGGGCGGAGGCATAGCTTGTAAGAGCCCATTTTTAGAGACGTGGAAATGAAACCTCCACTGGAGCAAGATCACACAGCTGAGCTGGTATATGGCCCAGACCAGGGTCTCCTGTGACTGCTGGTCCATTGGTTTAGAAGGGAATAGAATAACCACAGAGATAGATGAAGGCAGACTGGGTTTGGTAGAGTATGAAACATTCTGCCCATGAATATTCAAGTACCAGAGCCCTGGATAGAATGAGCAACGATGAGCCAGGGTCCCAGTGTAGACATCCTGAAGTCTGAGAAAGCGAGCCTGCTAGCTCAAGACAGATTAACTTCAAGGTTCACCAAAACTCATTGCTGTCTACTGAGGTCCTGGAAGGGGGTGGTACATAAACTTCATCTAATGACACCACACAACGTTTGAGTCCACCTCTGCTGCTCAGGTGAATGGCATCAGACAAGTGACCTGCTCTCTCTGAGATCACTTGCCTCAACTCTGCAGGGAGGAAGCCACAGCCTAAGCTGTGTGGCTGACTGGATGGTACTCACTGGTAACCAGTGGCACTTGTAATGACAGCTTACTCATTAATGAACACACAGAGGCTTTGCCTTCTCCAAACTGCTCTAGATGTGGCTATTGTTACTGAAGAAGCCACTGTCACCTGTAGACATCCCCTAACTGACAGATTTGGCTTTGAATTTTGGCTGTGGCCCTGTTCTCTCTTGTTTTAGTCTCAGTTTCTCAGTCTGTAAAGTGGGAACCATAAACACCCACTCTTGAAGTTTGAGATGGGTTGTGGAAAGAGCTAAGTGTAGTGCCTGCTTTGTGTGAGTCCCTGTAGGTGGTAGCTTCATGTTCTCTATTCCTTGCCCAGATGGAAGAAGGCTATGGTGAAGTAATGGGACCTGTGTCTCCTAAGAGCCTTGACTTTCAGTTTCTGGGAAAAGCTTGGTCCAGGAGCAATGCACGGCCCCAAAGCAGGGACCAATGGTTCTGGGAAATCAACACAGGCTTTCATTGTGGAGGGAACTGAGGCTCAGGGAGACAGAAGGGACCACAGTGATGGAAACCCACCCGGGCAGCTGTCCAGAGCAAGCCTGCTGAAGCCGAAGGCTGAGTAAGCAACCAGAAGCAGCGAGAGTCTTACCTGTGTCTCCTCTTCTTGGAAAAAGACCTGATTTGCAGGAAAGAGAGAGGGAGGGAAGACAGAAGGAAGGGGTGAGGAAGGGGTGGGGAAGGGGGTGGGAGGGGAGAAAATAACCACAGGTGAGGGTGAGCATTCTTCCAAGGCGATGCTCTAGGGTGATGGGCTCTTGCCCCGCAGGACTCAGGACTCCTAACCAAACCTCCTGCCTCAGATTTGAAGAACTCGAAGCCCACATGGGAAATGCCGCCTGCCTTACATCCTGAATTTCAGGTCAAAGCCACCATGCATATGACAGACTGTCAGCAAGCCTCTCTGGGATGAAGGTAGACTGGGAGGCATGGGAAAAGTGCTCTCATCACTCGTCTTAGTTGTAGACTTCTCCTCTTCCTCTTTCTCATCTTTCCCCTCCTCCTGCTTCTCCCCCTCCTCCTGCTTTTCCCCCTCCTCCTGCTTTTCCCCCTCCTCCTGCTTCTCCCCCTCCTCCTCGTGCTTGTCTCTCTCCTCCCCTTGTTCCTCCATGTACAGAACCCCTGCTGTGCATCAGGCTCTGTACTAAGCTCTGGGCTTATGCAACCTCATTCTGCGCATCCCTGTGGCATGCTATGGAGGGCAGTGAGTGTCAAAACTTATTGCCTGGTCTTCTCCCCCTACCCCAGGCTCCCCTTATACTGCTCTCCCACAGCAGTTTGCAACAGTTTCTGGGTCCAGCAGGTTCTTCTCTCTCCTAGGTGCCTGGGTGAGCTAGAGCGACTGAGTTCCTCCTTGGTGGAGCCCAGAACTCTCCCTGCTGCATTCACCATTGGCCCAGTGGATGGGAACAAATTGAAAGCCATAGCTGGGTTTTGCTCACTGTTTTATTTCTGGGGCTTGGAATCATGAGGGTGAAAATGAAGGTTTTAGAAAGGTCTCAAACACAGATATTAAGAGAAGGAAAGGCCCAAAGCTTCTTCTGTCACTAGCTGCCACCTCCAAACCCATCAGGTGTTATTAGCCAAACATTTCATAATCACGGACTGGACTTGGAGAAGCTGGGCTGGGGAAGGGGGTGCCCTGGAGGAGGCTTTAGGAAGGGCCAGAGTATTCGTTCTCATTCTCCCCCACCCTCCTCTCTCTCTCCAGGGTCTCACTAAATTGCCCAGCTGGCTTTGAACTTGTTACCTTCTTGCCTCAGACTCATAAGTAGCTGGAATTACAGGCCTTGAGTGGGAAGCCACCTGGATTTTGAGATTGAGATGTGGAAAAGTCCCCTACACTGGGACTACCTGCCCAGCACAGGCAGGTAACAAGTGCCTGTTTACATTCATGACCTTGCCTTAGTATCAGGCTCCGTGGTATATATGTGTGTGTGCCTGCATGTGTGTGTACATGTTTGTGTGTGTGGGGCCTGCATATATATATATATATATATATATATATATATATATATTTGCATGTGTGAATGTATGTGTACATATATGTATGCATGTGCATGTGTGTAGGGATGTGTATATATATGAGTGTGTATGCATGGATATGTGTGTGCATGCCTGTGTATTTATAAATGTGTATTGTGCATTTGTGCATGAAAGTGTGTATATATGTATGTGAGTGTATGCATGTGTGCATGCATGTGTGTGTATAGTAAACACCTGGACTGAGAGGCCAAGTCATAAGAGGTCTTTCTGTGACTCTTCCTGTCCCCCACCCAAAGTGGGGATTCCTGGATGTCATGTTCTTCAACATGACCCTGCCCTCTATGACATAGCTGGAACCACACACAGGCCGTTTCCTGGCACTTTGGAATAATGATGAAGCTGTCATCGTTTGCTTCTGGCTTGGCCTGTGATGTGGCAGAAATGGGGTAGGTACAGCTCCTTCCCTGCAAGGACCAGGAAGCAGGAGGAACAGCCTGGATTCTCTCAGCTTTCCACTCCTTATTCCCAGCTCCTCTTCTAGGTGTGGCAGGTCCCTCAAATCCTCCTGCTTTCTTCTAATCAGCCCCCCTTTCTGGTCAGAATTATATTTAATGGATCTCTGCTTCTCCCCCACACAAGTTACAACTCACACTGATGCAAATACACGATAAAATGGAGATAAAGTGAGTACACTACATAGATGATTTGAAGTTCTTCCTGTGACATTGGGGGGGGGCGACCCTTGCTGCACCTGGGGTGTCCCTGTCTGTGGAGGAGGAAGGACAGTACCTGTGTCTCTTATGCTTCTTGGAGCTTTTCTTCTTCTTCTTCTTGACTGGCGATGGGCTGTAGGATGGGGACCTGTGGGGAGGGAGACATGCCTTTGTTGCTATGGGTCCCTTTCCATCTTTATACAAGGTCTCACTATTTTAGGGACCATATTCAGGGACAATCCCCATACTGATGGTAGTTTGCATTTGCATCAGAAGTCCTGTGCCCAGCCCCATTTAATCTTTCTTAGGTTGACACAATTGCTTTCCTTCCATTTTCGGGGTGGGGTGGGGTGGAGGTAAGGTAAAGTGACCTATTCAAAGACACAGAGCCAAGACATGGATGGTCTGAGATTCAAACCAAGTTCTCTCTGTTCCTGGGTTTGTTTGTTATAACAGCATAACTACCTTGGTTAAATCTAAAAGGCTTTCTTGGTCTCACCAGTGACTTTCCCCACAAGCTCTGCCCCTCCCACATTCCATGTTCTGGTCTTTGCCCCTGAAGTTGGTGACATGGGTGGGGCCACCAAAGGGGCACCTGGGAAACAGTTACCCTTTCTAGGGCCATGGTGATGACTCAGTCTGACGCTAGGGTGACCTGATTTCCCATTTTGACTCCACCACCAACTCTCAGGCCCTCTGGGAGAATCACGGCTTGTTTATTTCCTCACTGAGACAGCCGACTTGGGCTGGAAACAGAGGCTGCAAACTCAGGGCCAACAGGAGCCTCCCTCATGAGGAGGGTCAATGAAGCATGCTGACTGGAAAGCAGTAGGGAGTGGTGGGGACTGTGAGAGCCAGAGAACAAGCAGTGGCTGTCATATGGGGGCTGGGGTTCAGTGTGAGAATGCAGCCCTGGGCTTCCACAGCCCCCGCCTCTTCTATAGAAGGTTCCAGAAATCCTTATTTTCTTTTGGAATACCTCAATTTTCATTCCACACCAATGTTATTTTCTTAAAAAAAAAAACAACTTGGCAGATTTAAAAAGCAGGTCAGCAAAGAGAAACGGATGGGGGACAACTCAACACTTTAGGAACTGCATCTGTCCCCAGACCTGGACACTTGGTGTGCTGTTTCCTCCTTTAAGTTCTGCACACTTCTAAAATTGGGACCTCAATTCACTCCGAGTTCACCCCCCACTTTACAATTACTGGAACGACCCTGACTCCTACTTGGGTCCATCCTTAAGGGGCTAAGCAGGTGTGGCGAAACCCCTGCAAACCAGGCCAGCATAGTCCAGGCATTGCTCTCTGCTGCCCCTTGCAGGCTTCTGTGAACACTGCCTGGGAGGTTTGGTGTGATCCCTGTCTCCCCTGGAGCCAGAGCACTAGACAAGGTTTTATGAGGGAATCTGGAAATATTTTAAAGTATAAAAATGTCTGGAAAGAATTGCATGTAGAAAGAAATTCAAGAAGTTCAAAAGAACTTCGAGCTGCTATTAATAAAAAATGTTAACTCTGGGTCTGGAGAGGAATCCTGGGAATCAAGTCCAAGGCAGATTCTGACACCCCAGCCTGTGAGCCTTTATCTTCTCATCTCTGAAATAGGCATAATAATGCTTGCCTGGCAGAGTGCGGCCGGGAGTGAAAGGAAGGTGGATAGAAAGGTTTTTGGCACAGGCCTCTGCACTCTGTAAATTTCACCCTCTCAAGTTCAACATCCATGGTAATGATGACTTCTTATTAATTGGTCATACACGATTGCTTAACACCGTGTCAGCTGCCTCTGTATTTTCCTCTTACGTTTCTTTTTTTGTGATACAGAGTCTCACTTTATGGTTCAGACTGACTTAGAATGCTGGCCTCAAACTCACAGAAATCCTCCTGCCTCAGACCCCCAAGTGCTGTTATTACAGGCATGAGCCACCATACCCAGTTATTTCTCTTCTAATTCTCACAAAACCTCAAGAGGTTGGTATTATTATTATTATTTGCAGAAGAGGGGAATGAAAGGCAGAGAAAAGTGAAACCCAAGGCCACACAAGTAGTTAAGAGGCAAAGAAGGAATCCAAGTCCAAGTTACTGCCAGACTCTAAACCTCTCCTCCCCTTCCCCACTCCTGTCCCTTCCCCTTCTCTGAGTCTTTGAAGTTCATCTCTCTTCAGGACCCTCACCTCCTTCTCTTCTTCCTGGTTGATTTCTTCTTTTTCTTTTTCCCCCTGGAGGAAGGTGGTGGTGTCAGGTCTCTGTCTTGAGAGGCACTGTGGGACAGGAAAAGTCACGTATGAGAGGGTCCCTTGGCTTCCTAGTCAGGGCTGTCACAGCCAGAGAAAGGGAGAGGACCCAGCTCCCTAGTTAATCAAGGACCCATGGTGAACATCTAATTGCCACCTCATGGCTGATTCGGTCACACCTCAGATTAAATGTTTCAAATAAGGACTTAATGCCCACCTAATGAGACAGGCACTGTAGTTACCCAAATGCCAATTGATTATTTAAAACAAGGTTTATAGAGGTTAACTGCCCCTTAATAGATTTATTATTGAATTTGCAAATGGCTCACCTCGGTAAATAAATCACTTCAAAAAATAATAAATTGGCAGTTCGGCCCACTCCCTCCCCAAATCGTCCTGTTTACACCTCCTGCTGTAAATTTCACAGGAGGCAGAAGGTATGCTGAGTGGAAGCTGAAGGAATTAAAGTGTATTTGTGTGGGTCTAATGTAACAAGATGCATATCTTACATCACTTCACAGAACCTCAAAAACCTTCGTGCTTCAGGAATAATTATTTCCCGTTCAATTAAATTCAAACACTCAGGCTGCAGTTAAATGAAGTCAAGTTATCTTCTTTTATAATTGGGGCAGGCTCCAGGGATTAAAAAAAAAAGAACACTATCCTATAGCAAAGAGAGACAGTTATGGATTGAAATCTACTTGAGAATGGAAGCATGTGAGTTCAGTTGGCCTTTACTGGAACAACTACTATTGTATTTATTATTTTAGTAGCAACAAAACCAGCACTGATTTTATATATACATATATATATATCTATATATATATCTATATATATATATGTGTGTATACATATACATATGTAAATAAATATATATATGTATATATATATATATAATGCCAAGAGTTTTATATATTTTGACATAACATTTGGAAGGCAGTGTCTTTTTCTTTTTTTAACCTGCCCCCTGGGAGTGAACTCAGGTCTGTGTAGTTACAAGGCAGAGCACTTAGTTGAGAAAGCCCTTCTGGGTCGCCAGTATGCTGCTTGTCACTTCATTTCACAGGTGAAGGAATGAGGTCCAGGGAGTTTACTGGTGGCCACACAGCCAGGAATCTTCTATGCTGGGGTCTGAACCCCTGTGACTCCTGCTTTGAGAGCTGCCTCAAAACCCAAGCTGCCTTCTGGAGCCATTTGTACAGCCAGTCAGATGAAGATGGCCCAACTCATTAGAACGTCATCAAACTTTGTCATATTTCATTCCATTTGAAGAATATGTATCATCAGGGTTGGCAGGAGGGGATGATGAGGGATTAGAACATATGTTAAGGCTTCTGCCCCACCAACAAATGGACACACACACACACACACACACACACACACACACACACACACACACACACGTTTTTTAAGAGTCATTTTTAGAAAGTTAAAAATAAACATCGTAAGAATGTTTAAGCATCAAATCCCGAGCTACCGAATCACACCTACATGCTATAAAGCACCAAGCACAATAGACCATCCAGAAAATGAACCAGCTGCCTTTAAAGGCACAGTCAGCCACTTGCAACTTTCTTTCTCCAAAGAGTACTTGACTCCCAGCAAGAACCCAGTGGGCATTTGGCAAATGACTACATGACGGATGAAGAAGCCTGGCTGTCTGCTGAGTCAATTTGTTTCATAGGGGCACATCCGCTGGGAATTGGTGGGCAGGACAGGGAGTTCAAAAGCGTGTTAAAAATGAGGAAAGAGTCCATTCTTACGACCAAAACCTCTAACATCTCGAACCCTAAAGTCTAAGAGGCAAGTCATCTGGGAACCAGTGTCTTAGACTCAGGTTAAAATAATAGGGTAAATTGAAAAGCCTTTAAATTCAGTAACCCTGAAGTCTACGAGGTGACAATGTCCCCAAGCCTTCACACACATGAACTCACATTTCCCCATCTCTTTTCCCTACCCTGGTTGTATGAAGTGCATCACAGACTAGTAACAAAGCACACGTGGTTAGTGATATGTGAAGGGGTTAGGTACACAATGCTGGTCTCCACTGGAGTTCTGTGTATGATGGTCAGTTACAGTGGACAACAGTACAACTGCCACAGGGGTGGACTGAAAGTTCAAGCGGCCGAGTGTGCAGTGGTTTAAGTTCACACTGTGAAAGAGTCAGCAAACAAGTGGGCAGAGGCTAAGCACCTCTGTTACATGAAGATGAGCACCCTGTTACATGTCTAGTTTTAAAATGGGCGGTGGTTGAGGATGGGGTGGTCATGACTCCCGGTACAGCACCTGAAACTGCAGAGGTTAAAGGTGAAGACAATGGCAGAAAGAGATGACTGTTCTAGAAACGAACACACCTGGATTTGCACTCTAGTTCCCTTCCTAGCTCAGAGACCTTCTGACTTGTATTGTCACCATCTAAGAGGTGGGAATTAAACCAGGGACCTGGGTCGTAAGTTGCTGCTGCATGCCTTGGCCTGGCACTGAGTATGTTTACAGCTACCATGCGACGTTAGAGTCATTCTGATCAATGAGATGGTTGTCCCATTAATTTGATAATGGAACTGAAACCCTCCAATTGACTGATGGTCTTGCAACACAGGGTGTTGCTCATGCATATGTGGTGATGTGGGCGGGGACAACCCACTGTGTTTTTAGTCCAGTAAAATACAGTGTGGACAATTGTGTGCAGATTATAATGCTAACAAAGGGCCAGGTTATGTAGTCACTGTTTTTATTAACAGTATAGAGAAATGCTGGCTTTAGGCAGAAGCCTTTCTACTTCCTTGTCTGCTCTGTATCCTGATTTCACTGTTGGCTCTTGTGTTTGGTTGAATTTGTGCTGCCCTCAGAGCTGTAGGATACACTGTGTGTGTGTGTGTGTGTGTGTGTGTGTGTGTGTGTGTGTGTGTGTGTAGATGTGACACCCAGGTCAGGTGAGAGCTGTAGGACACACTATGTGTGTGTAGTGGTGTGTATATGTGTGTGTGTGTGGGCAGTGAGCTGTGGGGTTCTGTGTGTGTGTGTGTGTGTGTGTGTGTGTGTGTGTGTGTGTGTGTAGATGTGACAACAAGTCAGATGAGAGCTGTTACACTGTGTGTGTGTGTGTGTGTGTGTGTGTGTGTGTGTGTGTGTGTGTAGATGTGACACCCAGGTCAGGTGAGAGCTGTAGGACACACTATGTGTGTGTAGATGTAGTGTAAGCTCAGGTGTAGACTGATACATTTTCTGGGTTTATGTAAGTCCCATCTCAGGTGTTTGGACAACAACGTCTTCTGAGGGCAGAGTGTGTCACCATCATTAAGTATAACCAGTGTGACTTTTCTTATCACTTATATGATAGTTATTAATTATCATCATGACTGTGGCTTTTAATTCCCTGGAGAATCAGTCACAGACAGAAGAGGACTAGAGGCCCAGAAACTGTTGATAACATGGCAGTATCGTTTGTTTTCTTTTTCTTTTTCTTTTTCTTTTTCTTTTTCTTTTTCTTTCTTTTTTTTTTTTTTTTTTTTTTTTTTTTTTTTTTTTTTTTTAGATTTTCATTCCCAGAATCTTTCCTCCTCCCTGGCTCCCTGATGCTCTTAACCAGAATTTTTCTTTTTGCAGGCCTCCTATGTCCCACATCTACTGCCAGGACTCACAGGTACTGATTGAGGTTTGACCCTGAAATGCCCCCCAGCTCATGTCTGAACCCTGATTCCCAGGTGCAGCTGTTTTGGGGAGGCCAGGTGAAGCTTAGGAATTGGAGACTGGATGATGGAAGTAGGTCATCTCATTGGAGGTGGGCCTTTGAAGGTTATGCCTGCCCTGGTTCTGATCTGGCTGTCTCTCTCTGCACTCTATCCTGGCCATTTGCCGTCACCTCATGTGCTAACTGCCACTGAGGGACAATTCTTTTAGATCTTTCTCACCATGATCATGAGATATACCCCTGAAACCCGGAGCCAAAACCAACCTATCCTTCCATTCTCTGTTTCTATCGGGTACTCTAGTGAGTAGAGCATAGTAACTACACAGTGCCTGATTTATATCAATGCTTGACTTCACCTTCAAAAGGAGATTTCCATATTCCCATTTATAGCTGTTTAACTGAGGTGTGGACCAGAGTTCAAACATACTGCCCACATTAAACAAACAAACACAAGCTTTATGGTATTGCTTGTCATCAAAGCAAAGGACAAAGAAACAGATGTCTTGGGCTTGCTAGCCAGCCTAATGGAATGGGTGAGCCCTGAGTCCTTGTGAGAGACCCTGTCATAGAAAACAAAGTGAGCTGTGCCTGAGGAATAACACCTGAGGCTGACCTTTGATTTCTTCACATCCCATGCACTATCCCAGTGTGTATGCACCTACACACAATACACACACTCACACATACTCATGCACATACACAAATGCACACACATCCTCACACACACATTCACATACACACATATGTATGTATATACACGAATGCACACACACTCCCAATACATATACACATACTCACACATGCATGCACACACATGTAATGGTGTCATGAGTACGTTCAGATGAGACAATAATGGTCTGGGCTGTATGTATGTAAGAGAGAATTCAAAATCCAGGAGGTAGAGAGTGCATTGGCCCCACCATTATCAACTGTAGGCTTAGTTTAGTTAAGTTAAAAAGACCAGACTTTATCCATTTAGTTAGTTTTTTATCATTAGCATGTCTGAGCATGGGGATACATGCACATGTATCATGGCACACATACTGAGGCCAGAAGACAACTTGCAGATGTTGGTTCTTTCCTTTTACCATGTAGGACCTGGGTAATCTATTCCCAGTAATCAGGTTTATTCATTCTACCATCTAGGACCTGTGGATCTATTCCCAGTCATAAGGCTTGCCCCTTCTACCATGTAGGACCTGCAGATGTACTCCTGGTCATCAGTCTCAGGCTAGTCAGAAAACATCTTTGTCTCCTGTGCTATCTTGCTGGACCAGCTAGAGTTTAAGACTTCACAGTTTTAACTTACTGGTTATCATATCTTGGCCATCATGTCACCTTTATGAGACTCAGTGAAATGCCACTTATCAGTGTCTAGCCTAGCACCTGTCATCTATCAGGGACAGAAAAGTCAGTGGCTGAGTAAGCTGAGTTAAGGAACAAGTCTGAAGCTTGACACAAATATGGGTTAAAATTATCATTTGACAGTCCAGGGCTCACAAATGTCAAGAAGTAACTATCGTTAAATGTGAGTGTCTCACCATGATCAAGGACCCAGGTGGTGGTTAAGCTAGAATAACAGTTTGATTGGATTGAGTGATACCCAGGAGATGGGTGTGTCTGTGGGTGTTCCAGAGATGATTGACATATGGAAGATCAAATAAGATGCATTTGGTGGGCTTGGAAGGAACAAAGTTAGAAAAAGGAAGAGGCCCAACTGGAGATGGAGTCCCTCCCCACTCCCTGTCCTCTCCTCTCCCCCTCCCTTCTCTCTCTCTCCTTCTCCCTTTCTCTCTTCTTCCTTTCCTCCCTCCCTCCCTCTCCATCCTGTCTCACCGTACTCAGTCACAGAAACAACCAAGTGACCATGGAGCAAAATCTCTGAAGCCATGAGCCAAAAGCAACTTTCATTTTCGTAAGTGTTTGTCACACTAACAGAAGTGTAACTCACACAAGCCAAGTCTAGCTTGCCTCCTGCTTTTGGAAATACATTGTCATTAGAACTCCTGTACTTTATTACATTTAGTGCCTGGATCTAACAGTTGTGACCACAGCCATTGGGTCCACAAGCCTATAACACTGGCCCGCTACAGAAAGCATCTGTTCGCATATGACACACTCTCAAAGAGGAACTTGGAAATGAGAAGGGGTCAGAAAGGAGGACTTGGTTTTCCACACCAATCTTGCACTAGCTGTTGGCTCTGAAGGAGGCTCTGCCTCTCACCTGTGTGCTCGGGCAGGATCCAACTCCCTGCAGGGCTTCTCTCTTTCCCAGCTGTTGGTGCCAAAGGTCTCAGTGGTCAGACGGTGGCTCAGCTTTTCTGAAGGTCCACCTTGGGCTGGGACCAAGAGATTGCTTTGGGGCTCTGTCCTGCAGGGTAAGAAAGGAGGTAAAAGTGTTAGAATATTTGGAGTCTTTTCATTAAATATTCAGAACAAAGGTTTTACTAGCCTTGTTCCTAGACTGAGGTCATGAGATTATCATGACCTTTTGTCTCTGAGTGGAGTTGGGAGGCATTTCTAGTTCAAGGCAGCCAAGATCCACACATCTTCTCCATCTTTCTCTCTTTCTGCCTCAGGGACTTTGAAGGCTATGTACTCTGAAAGTGGAAGCCACTTGGAGGAGGAGAGAGATCTGAGCTTTAATAATTTTATAAGAGAGAAATGGGCTAGATTAAGTTGCTCAGGTTAAGTTAAGTTCATTACAGCAGCATACCCTATCCTGTCCTTACTAGAATATGGAATGGTCTTGGAAACCAGCATTCACACCCTCTCTCAAGAAGATGGACACTGATGCATGGAAAGAATAGTTTAACCCCCTTTGATTCCCTCCTTTTTTTTTAGACTTTATTTCTCCGCATTGTCTGTCTCCTCTTATCTGTATTTTACTTTTCCCCCACAAACCAATAGTCATCCAAGCTCCAAAAGTATTAAATGGAAAAATTCCACAAACATATCATAAGTATAAACATGTACTTCTCTGAATAGTACAATGATACCTTGTACTTCCCTGCTGTCTCCTGCTTGGGACATGAACCATCCTTTTACCCAACATAGCCATGCTGTATATGCTGTTCAACTGTGAATCACTTAGTGGTTATCTTCAGCAGATTAACTGACAGAGTATGGTGTCCAAGTCACCCCTTTCATACTTACTAATGGCCCTAAGGTACGAGAGAGTAATGCTGGATATTTGAATATGCCAAGGGGAAGACATAGGTGTTCCCATTTTATGAGACGGTAAAAGCACAGTACAATGTTTGAAGAGAGAGATCACATTTGTAGTATATTATTTCTTGGTTATTATTTTTAACCCTACACTATACCTAATTTATAAATAAAATCTTTTTATATGCTCACATGTAAAGGGAGAAACATGGTGTGTGCAGCGCTGAAACCCCCTAGGTTCCAGGAGTCCACTGTGGTCTTTGATATTATTTTGATTGGATATGCAGGCAGGGGATGAGGGGGATTGGATGCTTGAATTTACAAACTACAGATAAAAGGGGACAGACTTCTGAGTTCCAAGTCCCTCGGCAGTAAAACAGAGAACCCCACCAGCCCTTAGACTGTTGACTTGATGTGAGTGTAAAGATGACTTATGCCAACCAAAAGATCTAGAAAAAATACCTTTTATCTTGATTTTACTTTCTTGCAAATCAGCCAATCTGGTGTCTCTTGCAGAGGTAAGGTCACCTACCTGGAATAGCAATTCCCATGAAGCCTTAATGTTCCTTCCTCTTGCCCAACTGTGTAGGAGTCATTAATGTACCTCGCCTATTTAAGTCTCAGGAAGGGACAAGTAATTGCTTAGTCACTTGGTCTTTGTGACTCTTGTTACTCAAAGTCCTGGATCCAAACCAAGAGGACCCAGGAGCCTGAGGGTCAAGGGTCTGTCTCGGTTCATTCTACGTTCCGACTACAGGTCAAGCATCGATTGGTCAGTCATTGATTGAAGGCTCCTGCTGGTTTTATGACTCACAGTGAAGGCATCTGATAAGTTCCCGATCCTTAGGGATTCCAGGGAGTGAGCCAAACCCAGTCAATAGGGAGGCAAGGGCAGAACAACACATTCATCTCTGCCAACCGCTTATTGGAGCATCTTCGGAAGCAGAGCTGGGAGTCACTGCCAGCCAAGGAGGAATGGAAATCCTAATCAAGGCTGCCTCCTGCCTGGTCCAAGCTAACCCACATTCATTATATCTAAACCTCAGTGCCGGTTCTCGGTGTGGGGCTGCAGTGACCCAACCAGGGATGGATACTGTGACCATGAAGTTTATATTCAGATGGCAGAGGAGATCATTATGACTTAAGTGTGAAAACTATGACTTATTGAATGTGACCAATTAGGATGTGTATAGAATAGCATAGAGGGTTAGGAAGGCAGCAGAGTTAGGAAGGCATGTGATGAGCGACAGGCACAAGGGAACTTACAGAATGAGGTGGCCTAAAATGTTTTCACAGATTGATCGATAGATATCATTGCCCACTATTTTCAACTTACAGAAACCACGAAACACAGTTGCTTGCTGGGTTTGTTTTCAGCCATGAGGATTGGGAGTGAATTTTTTGTTTGTACGGTACTACATCCCTTCTGCACCGGTATCTGCAGAAAGGGGGAGGTACATGCCAAGCAGAAGGACTGGGATTCAAAGACCTCAGCACACACAGGAATGGCAAGAGGTGAGATCAGAGATGAGGTCTTTGCAGTGAAATTTTTGTGATTGTGTACCAGGGGATGCACTAGCTTGCTCTTTTTCTCCAACAGTACTAGTTTCAGCTTTCTGGACTCGGGTACCCCACTGGGAAATCCACAGTAAAGCAAACAGAAATACAATAAATTCTACAGGAAGCGCTGAAGGGAAGGATGGGGCCCTCCATGATAGAACATTCAAAACCTTATTGTAGACATCCTAAGATTTTTATTTTTGTGGCTCAGCTTTTCCCTGCCTCCCTCTTTCCACCTGTCTATATGCACACACAGACACACACACACACACACACACACACACACACACACACACACGGAAGTCAGAGGTCAACCTCAGGTCCCATTCTGAGACAGGGCCTCTCACTGGGGACTTGGGGTTTGCTGAGGTCTAGGCTTGATGTCCAGTGAGTTCTGGGCATCTTCTTGTCTCCACCCTTCCAGAACTAGGATTTCAAGTGTATGTCACCACACCCAGCTTCTTGTATGGGTTCTGGGGATCAAACTCAGGTCCTCACACTTGTACAGCAAGTACTCAAGTAGCTAAGCCATCTTCCAGCTCTGCTCAGCTTTCTTAAAGCCAGAAGAAAGAGCTTAAAATCCCATATTCTCCAAGTTTGGTGTAATATCAAAGGTTCACAATGAGGTTTCTGAATGAGATCCGAGGACCCATTGTAGATTCAATGAAGTAGAGTCTGAAATAGATAGACCCAGGAATCTACATGCTAAAGAAACATCCCAGATAGCCATTTGTCAGATCAAGCACAAAATCCAAAGATGCCATATGATCTGTCTTCAGTCACACCTCCTGCACCCCTCCCTGTTTCCCCATCATTCTAGCCATATGGTCTTCTTACCATTTCTTAAATAGGATAAAACTTTCCTGCCTCAGAGCCTTTTCACTTGCTGCCCCTCCCCCTGCACTGGCATGCAGCTTGCCTGGTCATCTCATTCTCTCTCAAGGGTCACCTTTCCAGAGAGTTGTCCCAGCTTCCCCATCTCACTCCATCCCCTCTTTACCAGTGGTAGGAACCACATGGGGCTTGCTGAGTTCATTCTTCTTCACTGATAATTTATGTTCTTTAACTGATAATCTGAGCAAGGACATGAGTTCTTGAGGTAGGGACCAGTCTTCTTACCATCAAGTAATCAGAGAGTGGATAATGGTGCCTCTGTTTGCTGATGGATGGATGACAATGGATGGATAGATGGATGGGTGGATGATGGTAAATGGATGACAGTGGATGGATAGATGGGTAGATGGATGATGATGGATGGATGGATGGATGATGGATGGATGGACGGATGGATGATTATGGACGATAGATGGATGGATGATGGTGGATGGATAGATGGATGGATGATGATGGATGTATAGATGTATGGGTGGATGGATGGATGAATGGATGATGAACAGGTGAATTCTGGGCACTGATTCTATACAGAAACTGTAGCTTGGGCTCTGCCCCCTCTTACCAATCAAGGTGCTGAGTTGGCAGGAGGAAGAGACTATGAAGCACACAGCCCTTCAGTGGAACCAGACCTCCGCCCCAACCCCACCCACGCATCTTCCCTGTCTCCAGTCCTGTATCTTTTCAAGGCCTATTTCTGCAGAAAGCATGGCCACAGCTGCCTCCTCTTCACTTCATAGTTATTCAATGTTGAGTTTAAAAAAATACTTAAAAGAAGACAAGATCTTCAGGGGACAGCTGAGACAGGGAGTCAAGGGCCAGCACACTCCACTTCACAGAGGGAAGGGGAAGCCACGGGTTCAGGTTCCTTGAGAACTTCCTCCTCCCTGCATTCCTGCTACTCAGAGATCTGCCACTGATGGGGCTGCTGCCCGTAGTCATGGCAACGAGCAGCCAATTCCTAGCCTCTGATAAGAGTCAGGGGTGAACTTTCTACAAAACTCTCTAAGATGCCTGGATCCCTAGCTGCTTGCTCGCTAATTTCTCAAGATATCCATGAGTGGAGCAAGAGTTTCCGGCCGCTCCCAACAAAGCACTCATTTGGTCCAGGGCTGGAGGCCAATCCTCATGACCCTAGCCCTAGGCAGAGTTAGTAGGATTTTAGAAACAGACAAAAAAAAAAAAAAAAAGGCTGGGGGAGCTGCAGAGTCAGGCAACCTCAGTAGAGAGCGGGAAAACCGAGGCCTCGAGACACAAAGGGGTTGCCTGAGCCTGCATCAGCACTCATGTCAGAGCCAGGCCTGGAGCTGTGGCCTTTTGTCTGCTTGGCCAGTGCTCTTTCTGAATACCTTGGTCATAACAGCTCTTTGCATCTATTTAAGCATCTACTGGATGCCAGATACTGGGATGAATGCTACTTCTCTCTCACCCTTCAGCTCATTGAAGTTCTAAGGAACCCAGCAGCAGGTGTGGCCAGTTCTGTTGTGTGTGTGGAGAAGCTGGGGGATGGAGATGGAGATACCCAGCCAGAATATCAGCAGTACAGGTTATTTATAATAAAAACCAGCTGAGGGAGAGAGGGGGGGAGATACCCTGAGAAATATTTCAAAACTGCAAGAGGACTATCGCATGCTGGATAATTCCTCTTGTGTCTGCATCTTAGGGCTTGGTCTGCATCTTACTTCTTACTAGGAGAAATGGCCTTTGGCCACTGACTTTGAGACATTCCTGACTCTGACTTTCTCTATCCCA